CTTCATGAAGGGCAAAGACGAACCTGTCGCAAAGACGACCGCAGTCTCTCTCCCACATCAAATAGCAGACAAATCCTGAGAAGAGAGGATAAGAAGGACATTGACATTTTATTTTATGTTATTTTGGGCCTTTTTTATTAATAGAAACAATGGAAAGGGGACAAAGAGGAGACACAAACCTGAGTCTCCCTAATGAGCACTGAAGCTCAACATGTCTGCAGCACATGCACTACCCAATAGACAATAACTCTGAAAAATGACCCATTAAAAACAACAGCCGTTGTATTACCTGAAAAATGTCTATTGTTTGTTGTATTTTAAAAGCACATGTTCCATCATTGAGACAGATCAAAAATACACCATCTGGTCTATTGAGTTTTTCATGCTTTGTACACTTTCACTCAGTATAAAATGCTGATAAAGAACGTATGCGTCCATATAAGGATCAGGTTACTGTAAACTATGAATTGTTATTTGTAATTATGGAAAATGTTAGCACATAAAACACATAAAAAATAAAGCACGTAAAAAGTATAAAATAGACCATGATGGAAATTCTGTAATTGTGGACAAACACACAATCAGGAGCTAAAAACTCAAATACTAGTCAGTAAGGGGTCAAATAGTCAGATCAAAGGCACATACATCTTTTCAACGGAACATGAAAAATGTATATCATTCATTATTTTAATTCTATAATGAAAGCATCAACAGAAGGCAGAGTTTTTATTCTATATTTTTATTTCACGTATAGCTTTAACTGAGAATATCACACTGAGACCATATTCTTATTGACGTGTAGTATGAAACGAATGGCATTTTAATAGTTAAACATCTCCTGGTCGGTATCTCAATCTCAGCAGGCAGTCTGATGTTTTAATGCTTTTTTATAAACATTTCACTCATGACATTCAGTTTGTTTCATGTGAAACTCATGGTTATAGATCAGATTATTACTGATTATATTAGCTCTCAGAATGTTTTTGTAGATTGTGGATTTAGCAGCTCTTTCTGCGGTTCTCAGTGTTTTATTGTTTGACAGAATGAGAAATATGATTTAAAGAGTCTTAAAAAGGTACATTAAACAGCCAAACTTTAATAGCTTCTTGTTGAATTTTAATCATCAATAACAGACCTTAGTAGGGTAGCACTACTACAGAAAACTAATGTTTAAAATGTAAAAAAAAAAGACTAGATAGATAGATAGACAGACAGACAGACGATGCTATTGCACGATGTACGAAGCACAGATGCTATTGCATTTTTAGTTGTAATGTTTTAATGAGTTTCTTTATTTATTTACAGTATATATATATATATATATATATATATATATATATATAGAGAGAAGTATATATGTACCACTGACAGTATTCTCCTCTTATAATGAAGTGGTTGTGGCATGTTCCAGGTTATTACATTACTCCAGCACATTATCTGGGTGAGATCCAGACAGCAGAGATCACCTGTAGCACTCTGCTTCCCAGCACTGATTGCAACGTGAGTCATTGTGCAGTCATGTGTCAATCAAATAATGAAACGCACAGCCTCTTTCATATGCACTGATGCACCTTGTTCTTGCAGGTGAGATTCTACCACTATTCTCATGGTGAAAACAGCACAACTGCCAGGGTAGTCGTCATACTGAGGACTAATGATAGGATTATTAAAATATTTTTTTTATTTATAAAGTTATCAATTTGTTCATCCCAAGATGATTCAAAATGCCCCGGAACAGCTTGACTTATATTGTATGCATTTTGGTATACTTTTTTACTTCTGTTTAATATCATACAATATTCAGTTATAATATTACCATATTCAATTATCCATTAAACCAATTTTATTTCTTGTTAACATATCTCTAAATGTCCTACAGGTCTTTTAAGTTAATTTCTAGCCCACTAAATGAAGTTCATAACGCAGGTTCGGGAGGAGCCTAATCAACCAGTCCTGCCAATCATCCACTCTTTTAAACAGATTTCGACTTACCGCTTAAAGTGTTTCTGGCTCTTGTGTTCCTGAATCATTCCTCTTGTGATCTTATCCAGGCTGACTACCTCTTCTACCCAACATCTATTATCCTAAGTGTTGTGCACAAAAGCCCAATTTGTATGTGTACTTACAGACGGACAATAGTTAGCCAGCGGGGCAGTCGCTCCTATTATATGGGCAACTGTTAGTCATTACGCTCAATGGACGTCATTGTCAGACACTTGGGCAGAGGGAGAGCCACATTTGCGAATTGGATAACTTAAGCACCTCGGTCTTTATGATTCTTGATTGACGCAGTTAATAGATAGATAGATAGATAGATAGATACAATGACATACAGAACAAGAGAAATATAAAACGATAGACAGACAGACAGACAGACAGATAGACAGATAGATAGATAGATCAGCATTTTGATAGCTGATAGCATTTTGATGCTTGTCCTCCATCCGACTGATAGCATTTTGGACCAGCTGGAGTTTGTTTATTAAGCGTGCAGAGCAACCACCCAATAAAACATTACAATAATCAAACCTTGAGGTCATGAACGCATGAATTAACATTTCTGCATTTGACATTGAGAGCATAGGTTGTAATTTAGATATATTTTTGAGATGGAAAAATGCAGTTTTACAAATACTAGAAACGTGGCTTTCAAAGGAAAGATTGCTATCAAATAGGACACCTAGGTTCCTAACTGATGATGAAGAATTGACAGAGTAGCCATCAAGTGTTAGACAGTGTTCTAGGCTATTACATGCAGAGTTTTTAGGTCCTATAATTAACACCTCTACTTTTTTCTGAATTTAGCAGTAAGAAATTACTCGTCATCCAGTTTTGGTCAATAGTGTCGAACGCAGTGCTAAGATCCAGTAGCACTAATAGAGAGATACAACCACGATCAGATGATAAGAGCAGGTCATTTGTAACTCTAATGAGAGCAGTCTCGGTACTATGATACGGTCTAAATCCTGACTGGAAATCCTCACAGATACCATTTTTCTCTAAGAAGGAATATACTTGTGAGGATACTACCTTTTATCTTGGACAGAAAATGGAGATTTGAGATCGGTCTGTAATTAACTAGTTCTTTGGGATCAAGTTGAGTTTTTTTGATGAGAGGCTTAATAACAGCCAGTTTGAAGGTTTTGGGGACATATCCTAATGACAATGACGAATTAATAATAGTCA